AAAATATAAATATTTTGATATATACATCTAAAAATACAAATGTACATTAAATAATTCAACCTGTATTTCAATAAAATTAGAGTTCGAACGTATAGGTTGCGAACAAACCCATGGATCGAACGTATAGGGTACGCATGTGTTTTGGGAGCAAACGGACCCAATCACAACCGTAATGCCCTCTCCGCGGTCGGTCCACTAATTAGCAACAAGAAAAATGTTAGTGACAAGAAGAATAGAATTAGCGACAAAAAGAAAAAATTGCGACAAGACACTTTATATACGAACAAAACAATAAATAAATAGAAAAAGTAAATTAGTTACAGCTGATAATTTTTTGTTTTAAAAGATTTCAAATTTTGTTCTTGCATGTGCGCGTTTATTATTTCCCGTTGTTAACTGTTTCGCTCATTCAGTACATTAACTGCTGGTTTATACTTTGCGCTGGTAGTTAAGGATTATCCTACAATTGTTTGTGCTGCCTCGGTTGTATTGAAGATGTTAATTTAGGTAAAACAACTTTTGTATAGTAGTATAAGCAGGGCTCTTATGTACGATTGATTCAAAAGAATTCCAAAATGTCTGACAGGGTAGAATATCCCCAGGAAATGTAGGCAAGTCGGAGAAAATTCGGAAAAGGTTGTAACTTTTTCTCGGTGATTTAGAAAAGTGTTTTTGAAATTCATTACGAGTGTTGTGATGTATGTTTCAAGTTGCTTAAAATGATGAAATATGTGTTGCTGGACCTAGATTTAAAAATCACTCACCATAGGTGTAAGTACGCTAGCTCCTGAGTTTGATTATGTTCATTGATTTTTCAATTGTCACTTCCAAATGTAAATTATATTCATCACTGTCCAAAATTTCCTGTTCAATATCTTCAACTTCTGTTCCAATTTTTATCTGTAATTCTAAATTTTGAAGTAAGTTTCTCTTTTTCTTCAAAGTTTCTATGCCTTGTGAAAGTTATAATTTCCAAAATTTTGTCATTTGACCTATTGATTAGACTTGTTAGGGTGCTTCTGTGTCCATAACTTATCATTTTCAGCGTGTTCGTTAGTCACTGCACCAACATTTTAAATGGGTATGGTTAGTACTTTGTTTTGTAGTGAAAAAATAGCGGGAAATCCTTGATAACGAATTATATAGCTTTTAATGATATACTATGTCTTTCATTATAATTTCAGTTTGGTTAGTTCTTGTATTTCCTTCATTGTCATATATTCTTTAATGATTGTATTCACTTGACTTAATTCATTTCACCTGATTCCCTACATTTTACTTTTGACTTATTTTTGTTTTCCTCTTTTTCACAATATACAAATGATTGAAATGGTCAGTTATATATTTATCTGTGAAAGTAAATTTGAATTATTATTGTTCTCAATTTGATCTGATTTATATTTAGCTTATTTATCTCTTCTTCATTAATTTACAGTTTTTCTTACTTAGAAGGAAAAAGTCAGTTCTTGCTGCATTTCCAATGACTGAAAATAGTTCATCATCATGCAAGTGACTTGTACTTTATAACGTTTTATTACCATTCATCTATATATCATGTATTACTCCTTTAATAACTTTTTTTGGTTACAATAGAGAGTGAGAGGGGTTCCGAGAAAAACGACATTAGAAGTCAAGCAAACGAGTGACAGACAAGATGGTCGAAATTGACATGTATCCCTATTGCTGTTGTCCCTGACGGAATTGGATCGAATGGATGATCGATATTATCGAAACATTCAGTATTATAATAAAAGTCAAACTGTCAAATACGAAATCTTTTATTTAAATATTCGATTTAGTTTATATAACACAGGTCATTTTTGTTCTGCACTTGAACGCTTCAAAACGTTTACATACTTTTTTGGTAGCTTGCTTACATAATTAGAGTTCGTTTTAGTCGAATGCAATGTCTTGAAGCTTGTCAATACAAAAGTTTAGTACGTGCTGAACGTTTTTGTATCGGGGGCTATTGAGATCACTTTATAATTAAATCAAATGGTTTCCATATTCCTTATTTGAACGTTTTGTAATGTGTAAGCATTAGGATGTTCTTTGATTTAAGAGATAACTGTATTGTATTTAAAGCTTGGCCTTCTCAATAAACGTAGATTTTACTGTCGCAAATTGAGTTTACCTAGCCATGCGTAGCAGAGCTAGGTAAACGGATATTTGCGACTGTAAAACCAAGTTTTACGAAGGCCAAGTTTAAAAATACAGTACAGTTATCTCCATTCTAATGCCGCATATTGAAATAAATATCATTTAATAAATATTTTGGCTTAGAAATGCCATAAATGAAAAAGTCCGCGAATCTGTTGCATCGTCTTTACTATCTAAAAATTGAGACGTCATATGTATACACTGAATGTCAAACATAAACCCTAGACGTATTCATACTTATCGTACGCTTCTTAATGGTTTCCATATTGACAAAAAGAAGTTTTTGAGGCTCAAAATGTTACTTTCTTGTTTATTTTTTGAAAAATTACATATAGACAAAATCGGTATTCAAAATGGTGGCTTTCTCAGTTACGGACTGGTAAAACGTGGAATCTAACCCTTCAAAATATTTGTCAAAGTCCAATGAAAATTATCGTTACAAACGAATTGCATAAGAATGTATGTTTGTATTTCTTAGATTCTTTTTAAATTAAAAATGTAACTCTATTTTGTATAAAGAACTGTTCTATTTCAGATCAAGTTTGCTATGAAAAGTTTGTGACATGGACGATGATTGGATTTGTTCCTACGTTGATTACTTTTCGGATTCTCGTTTGGAGTGTATCCTTGATTTCAAAGATGAAAGGTAAATATTTATATCACCATTTTAATGAAAACAATGGACTAGAAAAATAGATTTTGGTTTCTTTGGAATATTGCGACTGTCCCTCTTCTTTTGGTTAACATTATCATCGTTGTATGTTAAGCATGTTTAGGAAATCTGATATAACAGTGTATGTCCTGTGTTAGATAGATATTTCATACCAATCATTTAGTATTATGAAGCAAACAATTTATCTATGGAAATATGTTCGCCTTTTTAGACTTATATCAAGCTCAGGTGTTATGTTTTTACTGGTTTTGTTAATTTCTCTTTCCTATTTTTTTTTTCATACGCAAAACATTTGACTGATTTATAATTTGAAGTAAGACAATACTTTTTTTTTTTCTTTTTATTTGGATTTTGAATAAAATATATTTTATTACGTGTTCAACAAGAATGATCCTGAAATGTTCATGATGTTTGTCAATTAATTCTACTTTAAAGTACAGACAACGATATGGGTTAAGGCATAATTTCATTTCAGCTGGTTATGTACTTTGAGATAATATTCAGTACCTGCGACTTTTCATAGAATAGATATGGTTTTGTTTGGGTTTTTGTTCTGTAAATGTATATCTATTATACCGTTTAATAGGCCTAGGATAAATTGGTTTCCTCGTGGTTTTTGTAAGTTCTTACGTGTACTAATTGTTATTATACAGATACTCTTCTGTGCACGTGTCTGCCTCAAATCAGGAACGCCATACAAGACTCATGTTTATATTAGTCATTTAGGGTATTTATTGAAGATGGCAGATCTTTGACAGTTGCTTTTTATACCCCGTTTAAAAAGGGGGTATACTGTTTTATCTCCGTCTGTCCATCCGTCCATCCGTCAGTCAGTCAGTCAGTCCATCCGTCAGTCCATACGTCCATCCGTCAGTCCATACGTCCATCCGTCAGTCCGTCCGTCTGTCCCATGAATATTTTACGTCGCATTTTTCGGAACTACATTACAAGGAATTCTGAAATTTGGTTTCAGGGTTTATATGAGTCAGCTATACCGTGTGATGCTTTTTCAGATTCATCACTCAACAACTTCCTGTTTACCTTATAGCGGGGCGGTGGTATCATTAGTGAGCAGTAGCTCACAGATTCACTTGTTTACACTTTGTTAAACTCGGACGACTAAAGGTTTGACACTTTGTATAGACAGATTTCTATTTTTAAAAACCAATTTCTCACTCTTAATGGTTGCTGTCTAATTGAATTATCCCCTAAAACGCAATTTTATACGCTTTTCGCTGCCAGGTTCATACATAATGTTTTTCTTAATTTGCATGATAAATCTTGAATGTTTCCACTTTCACACGTACACCCAAGATATATCATCAAAATGCTGGACTTTTTTGTTACCACATGTTTGATAAATTTTGTTGATTGATATTACATCAGACACAGGCGGTATTTCAATGGGTACTTATTGTTTATCGTCAACTTTTGTTCGTACTCATATGGAGTAGACTAAGTACATAACCTTTTCACAGAGAAAAGGAAAAAGTCTTGTAAAGTTCTTTCCCTTTTAGATATCTTAATCATGTTAGTGATGTCATATCACTCAATAACTTACAATTCGGTTAGTGCTGTATTTCATATATCACAGTTTACTTGGATACTACAGAAATTATAAGATTTGTTTTGCTTTTCTTCGTAATTGGCACAGATTGACGATGGTTTCACTTAACAGACTTTCCATGTAGACGCAACAGGGTTCGCTCTTTTTTGGTATAGCCGATTCTCTCAATGTGTGATTGCTACCTTGATTGGTATCTTCCTAATAGATTAATGGGATTTGATTATCCGTAATTGACTTTCGTTCATTGATTGCTATCAACAAATACGTTAACTCTACGTTCTTCTTATTTCTTAAATGCGCATCGTGTTGATCTTTTGTTTTAATCATGTGTGATATTACCAGTTTAATACTTCTAACCTGTAATTATCGTTGAATTCATTACGAGCCCGTAATTGCTTGAATTGAAGTCTTATCATACAGATAATTTTGCTATATCCAGATAATGTTTTATTTGTTTACCCCTTGTTATTTTTTTTTACAATTGTTCAAAAAGTCAATAAGCAGATGCATAGTGAAATGTCACATGATAATACACCTTTTTCAACCTCAACATTGAATTAACAACTATTTCGAAACTCCTTTTATTTTTTCTCATTTCAGAACAAGCGACTAAATCTGTATTATCATTGTGCACCTGTATCGGTACAAAACAGATAGTTTCAACTATTGGTAGGTAAAATCTGAATTTATTTTTATTTATCTGTTTCTGTTTGATAACCTATATAAAATATGACATATTTTATCCTGAAAAATATAATTTCTTGATATCATTTTCAAGTATGTATGTGATCATTTGACATTGACATCCAACATGTAAATGATTTGTTCCAATATAAAAAGTTCAGCTTAGGTATTCTCCTTTGAACTGAAATTTGTTAATGACGCACCAATGTGTTCTAATGCTTTTAATTTATGTTTGATAATTAGAGAATATTTATAGCGTTTGAAAAGAAATCTTTGCTATCGATGTACATTGCGATCATGAATATGTGTAAATATTACAGTAAAGGCAGCATTGTTGAAATATTTCCGAAAGCTATATAATAACATCAAAGATCTATCAGATACCAGTATTAATTTATACGGATTTCATTTCAGTATGCAGGAGAGTTGTAGTAATACTGATTAGTTCATATTTCTTTATCATGCCGTTTATAGTTGGATTCATGGAAAAGACTAGATGTAAAGGTAATTATTGTGAAACATATAAATATATCAACAGATATATATAGATTCTACAACTGCATCGAGTGTGATACGATATTTATCCACTCGAGACAGTTAAATTTCAAATTTAAAACGCGAGGCTCGCCGAGCGTTTTAAATATTTAAAGTTTAACTGTCGAGAGTGGATAAATATCGTATTATACGAGATTTGGTGGTGGAATCTGTTTCTCTAATGATTTTCAAACAATATGCAGGCAAACTTATTCCTTCTTTTTGAATGATCTGCAAAAAGATGTGTTCTTTCTATGTGACGTCATCAGGCATGGTCGCCTTTTTTCATGCCGTCACAATAAGAAATTCAGAGGAAAGCAAGAAAATTCTACGTCATAATCGGATTTTAACCAATGAAGAACTGAGATCAAACGAACCACACGTTGATTAAATTTTTTTTATACAATGGGTGCAGAAAGGGATAAATTGACGAAGAATTAGAGAAATAATATATATATAATATAAGCCCTTTGCATAGCAGGAAAAGGCACTGAGTTTCTTTAAAACAAAATATCCTCTGTATTTCTACCACAGAATTTCATCTTTGGTTTTTGCCAAAACAAATACACAGAAATATAGAAAATGTACACATTTTTACACATAATGTAAACATTCTCCTGGAACTTTTAAACCAAAGAGCCTTAATAATACACCGAAAACGGGCAACACAACGGTTTGCCGAAAGCTACACAGAATGTGTAAGCCCTTTCAAACTCCCGAGATAACGGCTCCTTATTTCAGTTTGTTTATGTTTTTCAGTCTTTTAATAACAGTTTATTGTAAAAAATTGAAAACAACACGTTTAATAATTCTATGCGTCCGAAGCGCTTTTCTGGATTTACCTTCATCAGGAACGCTCAAAGCCAAACATTTGAAATCCGAAGATGTATAAGTACCGAAACCGTTGAAGAGCTATATGACAAAAATACCTAAAATAAATAGCCAAATTCATCTAAAGTCATTTTTGCCTGACGGAGTTGAAACCTTAGTTTCTTACTAATTTCAAAATTTATAAACGGACAATTTTAGTAAAGTTTGTTAAATCATGTCAGTACCTAAATACTGACTACTGAGCTGATGATACCCTCGGGGACTGATAATCCACCAGCAGAGGTATCGACCCAGTGATGTAAAAAATTGAAAACAACACGTTTAATAATTCTGTGCGTCCGAAGCGCTTTTCTGGATTTACCTTCATCAGGAACGCTCAAAGCCAAACATTTGAAATCCGAAGATGTATAAGTACCGAAACCGTTGAAGAGCTATATGACAAAAAAACCTAAAATAAATAGCCAAATTCATCTAAAGTCAACTTTGCCTGAGGGAGTTGAAACCTTAGTTTCTTACTAATTTCAAAATTTATAAACGGACAATTTTAGTAAAGTTTGTTAAATCATGTCAGTACCTAAATACTGACTACTGAGCTGATGATACCCTCGGGAACTGATAGTCCACCAGCAGAGGTATTGACCCAGTGATGTAAAAAATTGAAAACAACACGTTTAATAATTCTATGCGTCCGAAGCGCTTTTCTGGATTTACCTTCATCAGGAACGCTCAAAGCCAAACATTTGAAATCCGAAGATGTTTAAGTACCGAAACCGATGAAGAGGTATATGACAAAAATACCTAAAATAAATAGCAAAATTCATCTAAAGTCAACTTTGCCTGAGGTAGTTGAAACCTTAGTTTCTTACTTGTAACATGTGTAACCACTCCAGTTCTATTTTTTGCAATATGAACAACTTTTGATTTCAAATTTCAGTGTTGATCATTCCTTGCGAAGGTATACCCAGAAAAACGCTTAGGATGCACCAAATTTTAAATGAACAATTCCATTCTCTAACACTTGATCGATTGTGTAATTGTAGATCTACTAGTACACGAGTATTTCATCTGCTCGGTAGACAGTGTTTCGGTACTGATATTGATGTAAAACATGATTGTTTTAAGCTTTTGGTTCAATAAAGTGTCAAGTGACATATTTTCTTCGCTTTCAAACATTTGGGTTCGAACATTCCTGATGAAGGGAAATATGAATATCAGAATGGAGTTAATCTTTTTATGAAGTTTTAAAGATCTTCGTAAAACCGCAGAATAAAATGATAACACCAAATTGGTATCGAGTTTTTTTCATTTATTTGTATCGAGTTTTGTACATTTTCCCGAAATATGAGCAAGTTCCAAGGTCTTGGAAAAGCAGGAAGATTCCTCAAAATATCAAAAGAAAGGTGCAAACAGTTTGTGTGCAATCTTTCTTTTAAGTTAACTGAATCATGATTTAAAATTGTAAGATGTGCTGATTAAGATGCATGAGATATGTTATAACTTTTCATCGCCTGAATGACGCCTCCTGTAAGAAATGGCCTTGATTCGTTTAATTTGCAAAAAACTATATGTGTCTGTAAACTGAATAATAGGGAAGAGACTATCGAACGAACAAATGGACAACGAACCTGGTTAAAACTAAAGATAATTAAAATTAAAACTGAGTATTCCTATCATGTGATTTTTGTTGATTTGGAACATCTATAACATTAAACTGCATTTAAACTGTATGACCTGTACCTTGTACTAACATACATAGCGAGACATCACCACTGTTAAAAATTAAAAAAAAAAACATAACCTTTAACTGAAGCAATTCAAACGATAAATATGGGTTAGTTACTGTCCTTTATTTAGAAATTACATATTATATCAAAAGAAAACAGTTCATTTCATGAGGTAACAGACTGAGTAGTTGTTATCTTCCATACCAAAATACTAGAATTCCTTTGATATATGATTTAACTGGTTGTTTCTCATTCCTTATATACCTGTACGGAGTTATTTTTCTTTCAGAACTATAGTTCATTTTTTTAAAGAATCGACCCGGTCGATACCAAGTTTCAATACAATATGCTTCTAGGCAAAAAATAATGATCTTTGTAAATTCGTTATTTTCCCTGAATTAAATGCAAACTTTAATATACTTTATCATTCAATAAGTTTGATAGTTATCGTCTATTGTTGCCAATCGGGGTATTTACTTTTTATAGTTCCATCTTTGATAGGTTTATGACAGAAACAAGCCTTTTCCTCGTTTTTTTTACTGAAATTCAGTGGATTTATTTATTTACCTGGATACCAATTTTTGTGGATTGCAGAAAACTTGCCTTTTCGTGGATATGTGATTTCGTGGTTTTGACAAAGTCTGCATACAACCTGAGAAAACTTTTGTAGTTCGTTGAATATTTACATTCGTGTTTCATTATTTGTACCCACGAAAACCACGAAATTTCGTATCCAACGAATAACCATGAATCCACGGTACCATAAATTGTCCTTGACACATGTTTTGTATTTCGGAACAAATAATGTGAAGTTTTGTTAACTTATCACTACAATAAAGGCACATGATGTGAGATGAATTTTGCAATGCAAAACTTTTCATAACACTTTTAAAACAAGCCAGATTTAACACATTCGTGTGTAGGATTTTCAAAAATATTATTGATCCACACTGTATTTGAATTCATACTTTGACCTACATGTATCAATATTCGTGTTTCCTGTTACCTGTACATGTATCACAATTGCGTGCTCTCTTCGTGCCAGTGCTTAACTTTTTACATTAATGTATACCTTTTATTAAATCAAATGACCAAATATTTATATTTCCTATGCAATAACAGCCACGTACTTTATAATGGGGTGGGGGAGTAGAAACTGTAATCCTGATTCTCAGTTTAAAAAAAATGTATTGCCATTAAAAGGAAAATTATTCTGAATAATTCAATTCGTAAAACATTGATTAAAAAATAATCTGCTTTTCCGCGAAAAAATTTCATGAAAAAATAGAAAGTATCCCCCACCGGCCCTTTCGTATACTAAGTCGGTACAGTGAATTACTTACAAATTGACTTATTCCATTCTCAATTTTATTATATTTTTTCATACACCGTTATCGGGCGGTAAAAATATTCATTTGTGTCTTGCTTCATGCAGTTACTGTAATATTTTATTGTGCCTTGATAATGATTTCTAAAGTTCAAATCTAGATAAATAAGTAAGTTTTTTTTTATTTCCCATTATAACTGAGCCGTAGAACGTATTAAAACCTACATGTAAACGCCTCAGAAAATAATATTCCACTTTGGTCGGTAAAATAGGATTCAAATCTTTGCAGAAAATAATATTTGTTTGCGGTATATAAGCCAGACAATGCATATTTTAAAGGTTTTTTTTTGTCGTATAACAAACCTCTCTACGGTAGATCTTTCATTTGATCAATCCTAACACCCCTCGGCATGTTATACGACAAGAAACATCTTAAAATATGCATTATCTATAACATATTCTAATTATTAATCTGCCAATTATATCATTTGTTTTTGCATTTCAGCACCAACATTGTTCAGTTTAGCTGGGGTGATATGTGGTCTCCTTATTAATTTTGTATGGTCAGAAGAGAAAGGTAAAATAAATGATAATTTTTCAACAGCCGGAATTACCTGTCAAACACTTATAAGATGACACTTTGATTTGATGGAGTTCGTGTTCCTCGTTTTAGGTTTCTTTGTAGTGGTTTGTGGCCTTGCTTCTCTTTTCCTTGTTTCTCGTTTTTAGTGTGACATTGTCAGTTTCTATTCGACTTAACGTTTCTTTGAAATCTTAAGACGTTTTGTCATTGATCTAGTTTAAAGTATCATTGAACAATGAAATGTCTTTCCATGGAAAACCATGAGCGTATTTTAGTGTGCAATATCCTTGTTTTTGATTATGAAATATACTTTAAATGATATACATAATTTTTTAAAATTTAATTCTTTATACATGTTATAGTTTTACAATGGTTTTTACATGGATAAATATATTCCGTAAATTGTTCAACAACACAAACATGTGTTCTAATGTGATCTAAGGGATATAATCATCGGAAAAATCAACACAGTGTCTTTCGTTTTAAACAATAATGATATGCATACTTTCACGTCCTCACAAATGTGCATCAATCCTGTCAGAATGAAACAAATAAGCAAATCATCTTGTATGCTAAATGACATGTTTTGAAATCCCAAATTGCATCATACAAAAACAGATTTGATAAAACCCAAACAATTGTAATTGGATTATACAAAATGAGTGAAATTTATGACAAATTTTATCAAATTGCATTTGTTCCAAAATATTTTTTGTACTAGCTAGATTGATTCAATTTAACACACATGCATACAACTTTATAGAACATTAGGTGAATAAAATTGAATAATGCATATATCGCCATTTTGATAAATTGTCAAAACGCCCGTCTGATGTAATAAATTGGATACTGGTAATGTTTTAATAACAACATGGTCGATGCCTTGGATCGTTGAATGTTAGAAAAAGAAATTATTATGAAATTGGAAATAATATAACTTGAGACATCATTTAGAATTTTGAAAGTAACTTTTCCACCGTATGATGTTATAATATATATATGGTTTAATACTTATGATCTTATCTAATTTAAATTTAATGAAAACTATTCAAAATGTCCGCTTTGAATATTAAGAATAGAAAGAACGAACTCAGGTAGCTGCAGAATGCTGAAATTTACAAAACTGTGAAGCTAATGCTAATAATTAATTTAGCTATCTAAATGTGCTCTTTTGTGGGTTTTATGCTCCTTGAGATTGAAATTGAAAGATAGACAAAGGTACTAATATATATATAAAAGTAAATTAAGAATAAAAGAACCGAACTCAAATGAAACGTCAAAACGAATAGTCAAATGGTAATATCAAAAGCTCAAACACATCAAACAAATGGACCACAGCTGTCATATTCCTGACTTGTAAGGCATTTCCTATGTAGAAAATGGTGGGTTAAATCTGGTTTTATAGCTAGATGAACATCTCACTTGTATGTAGTCGCATAGAATTCCATTATGTTGACAAAAATGTGTGAGCAAAACAAACAGTTTAAAATGGGCTACAGCAGTCCACATCTTGATCACTATATAAAACAATTAACTATGTCAACACAGCAAATCACAATGCTATATGAACACTCTAAAGACAAAGCCCATAAGCAAACATGAAAGACAAGTATACACAAATTTGCCATAACACAATAACGCAATGGCGGGATGTAGAAATACTGAGCCACGCGGAAAGGATATTACCAACAATGGACTAAACTGTAAAGGTTAACAATATGCAAAGACTAATAAAAAACACTATAACACGTCATCAAGATGATAAGCAATGTCAGTTACTAGAATCTTTACTTCAAGACCATCATGTATTATTTGTGAAGTTGATACGAAATATTTATCAACAAGGTCTTGGTATCTTCCGATGAACTTTTTAGAAACGTTCTTTGACATTACCCTGGTTCATCAACTTTCTGATCATACACAGGTGACATTTCATAAAGTCTGAAAAGCAGCTGCAAGCTCTTGAATGCGAGCATATGAGCATGCATGTATATCTTTGATACTTATTAAAGACAGTTTCATGGGTCATTTCAGGAAACAAATACTAGAAATAAAGATAAACGGCACAACTGAACAGATTTTTTTTTAAATATCTCATCACGTATATGACATTCTAAAGGGGACACTTATCATGCTTATACGTGTAAAATTATACAGACTATCTACAGTCCTTACTAAAACCTATACCAGACACCCGCAAATAACTAAATGTCGAAATAACGTTCACAAATATGCAAAACAAGATTTTTTAAAAAGATTTACATATCACATAATTGTTCAAAATATTATCTTCAATTTCTAAATAATATATTCCAGGACTTCAAAACAACAATCATAATGACCACATGCAAGTTGGAGAAGAAGCTACAGAAAGATTACAAGAAGAATCTATATAAAGGTATTTTACGCTAAAAAAATAGAATAATCAAATATGAAGGAGTCCATACAAATAGGAAATACGTTCCTTCTGAACATATGTATACGTTGCTTTGGAAACTACCACAGTACGTTTATAAGAAAATCTAATGTTTAAATATGTAAAATGCTTCGAAATGTACCTTTCATAATGAACGCTGCCTGTAAATCTTAATGACAATGAATCTCAACAGCTTAATGTCACATGTGCAGTCCCCAAGTTAACCATTTTAGGATCTTTGCTATTCTTATACCTGTGTCAAACATATGTCCATATATATGTAAACTATACAACTAGAATAATCTTTCTATGGCGACAGCATAATATTGTTTTCATGTAAGAATCCGATTATATATTATGAAATCAAGAGAAAGACGTGAATTATTTTAGTGGCAATCTGGACGGAAATACACTTCCATGATATTTAGCCGAAAAAAAGTTCCATCGCTGACCCTAAACAGTGATAACAAACCACGAGATTAAATATTGAATTTACGTCGCAACTAATTCTTTAAAAAATGTAAACCTTAACCAATATTTACTTATGGAGAGCACCGTTAATCCCATCATTAAGACTTGTATTTTAAAGAAAATTTGCTATCAAATAAATAACGCTGATTATGTATGGCGTATAATTTTTTATTTACAGGCATCGTAATGCTTTTTGATGAAAAGTTCCCTCAAACATACAGTAAGAGGTATTGGAAGACGTGACACATAAACTCGTAAATGTTTGCAAGATATTAGATTGAAGTCAACAAGTTGTGTTTGGATAGACTGATAAAATTATGCGTGGTTATTTGCTAACGATAAATGAGGAACTTTTGATGAGATACTCTGACATGAAATGATGTACCACACGAAATCAATTTTGAAAAAAAATGCACTGATCGTCTTTGAGGTTTCTCACATTTATGGAATCTGAAATTATTTGAGCAAATATCTATCTATTTATATAAAAGACAAATGCCAGACAATACGTTATGGGCAAGCACATGTCAACAATGATTAAAAATCTTTAATTGTTTGAACATGTATATAAGTCTCATAATATATTCAGTGATCGCTGTGTACTATGTCATTTGCATAACGGTGGTTAGCTTCTTGAAATGGAACCAATATTGCTTCTGTGATTTTAACTTTTAAATGAACATGGAAGGGCAAAAGTGCTCACATTTGAGCCTCAATGTTGTACCTATTTACTAGCGACTTCATTACAACATGTATTTTTCCATAGGGTACATAAACGAATGTTACATTTTTGTGTCACTACTCAATACTTTTTCGTCTTTAATTTAGCAAAAACAATTTGAAAACTGTATTTTGAACTCACAATCTGCACAACAGATTAAAAGGAGAAATACTAATAAAACACGCAGAAAGACAACCAATTAGGATTTACCCTAATTGGGACAGGCACATACGAATATGACCAATTTATAGGCAGCTTTTTCTTCTCTGTACTAAAACCTCTCCTTTTTACATAAACACTACTTAAGGGACAATTAAAGGTTATAAGTTAACGTAGACAAACAAGAGGGCGAGCTATGAAATGTCTTTCTCGCTTTTTTGATAATGATGTCGTCTCATGTCGAAATGTCTTTACATAGAATGTCCTACTAAAGGTATTACAAAATGTGTATGAACTTAACATTATTAACCTTCTATGAATGAGATGAAAAGTTTCAAGCTACATAGTAAACGAAAGACTAAGCAACACACACACCACCAAAACTAGTGTTGGTCTCAGGTGCTCCGGAAGAATTGAAATACGAAAATACCGAACTCTAAGAAAACTTCAAACCAGAAAGTCCCTTATTAAATGGCAAAATTAAAAGTTGAAACTTATCAAGTGAATGGAAAACAACTGTCATATTCCTGTCTTGGAAGGGTGACAATATCCTGCTCCACTATAAACAAATCATTGTAGCTGATATCCTTTGACTGTACTATTAAATTATCCTCTTTTTTTATCATAATGTCAAGACAATTAATATTTACATACTGAATTAGAGCTGTACAATTGTATACAGTTGTCTGTCTTTTTGTCTTTTCTGTTTTGCCACATGGCGTTGTCAATTTATTTTCGACTTTTGAGTTTGGATCTCCCTTAGTAGCTTTCACCTCTTTTTAATTCGATTTAACAAATATGGAATTCCATTACGGCAAGATTCACCAACGTGATAGATTAATAGTGTAAAATTATGCCACATTTAAATTTAAACACTAACGTTTTTGTGTATACCACCAAAATATTAGAACTCCAAAATATTACAATTTACGATTTTCAACTATCTTAAACACAATTTAAATATTAGTGTTTTATCTGATACAGTGAAAAAAACATAAGAGCTTGTATATTTATTCAGTTTGCACTGTTTTTGTTAAAAGGACAAAAAATAATTTTCAAATCAATGTTCAGAACATGGGAACAACTTGTTTTGTAAGTGTGGTAAAAGAAAGGAGGACGATACAAAAGGAAATATTTAAACTCATAGATCGATTGCAATCTGACAATGCCATGGCAAAAAGGGAAAACAATTAAAAGACAACCAACAACATACAAAATACAACATAGGAAATTAAAAACTGAGTAGAGCCGTGGTGTAGTGGTTAGCGCATCGGACTACTAACACAATGGTTCCTGGTTCGATCCCCGTTCCGGGGAGAAAATTTCAGGGACTAAATTTTCGGCTCTTCCTTGACACTATTTGCAAGTATGGTCTTGAGAAACGATGATAGTCCGTCGGGAGGGGACGATAAATGGCTGACCCATGTTAAGAGAGAGCCATATCTCTTGCACGTAAAGGACACCCTTGTAGATTTCGAAAAAGAGCAGGCTAATGCCACTACAAGGCAGCACTCGCACCAGCAAAGAGGAAAGGGATTAATATAAGTTGTAAAAACTTGTTTCCCAATCCACTATAAATAAATATGTTTAAACTAAAAACTGAGTAAAATTAATCAACAAAAAACTAGGAGTAATGGCAGGTGCTTTGGTAGTGTAGGTAGATCCTATTCCATATGTGCTTCCCAAAGAGTGTTTAATCATAACAGCTCATTGTTACATTTGATAAAAAAAATTATTTACTGTAACCGAGTGCACCGATGTCTTTTAATTGTCTTTACATATAGCAACATTAAATGCAGTATGAAACCGATTTCCTGAAACTTGACACGCAGTATATCAATAATCTTCATCACGTTTGTTCTGGAACAGATGTTTCAAAAAAATAAATACAAAACTTTTGAGAGCATAATAGCCGCATTCTATGTGTGCATGTCTCAAGTCAGATACCTGTAATTCCGTGTTTTTCGTAGAATGCTGTCTGTTATGCTTCCTTTCTTTACAGATTTGTCATATTTGAATTGTTTCGCATTTGTCATGCAGGAGCATTTCATAGAACAGAGACATGCGATACCAAAAGTACATCAACACTCATCAGTCAAAATAAACTGGCAACGACACGGTAAGAAAAAAAAGATTCCGATGATGAACAATGTACGGTCTACAAAACACAATTAAGAAAACGTAAGACTGGGTCAAATGAACTCCGGGGTTGACTCATCAGGTGCTCAGGAAATGTAGGACGATCTTGCCCAAAAAGTTGTTTTCATCGTGTCGTGTTGCACATGTATGCCTCAATTGGGTGATAAAATCTTTTCGATGATGTGCTAATTGAGGTTTTATGTTGACAACAAGACAAATATTTCAATCTTCATCTGACATATTTCATAACTGGTAACTACCTCGTGATGTCGTCCGTAAAATATTCAACGGAATGTGGTAAGCTTTACCACTTGTAACTTTTGATTAAATATCAAGTAAATCCTGACAAAAACGCAGGTTTATATCGTATCAACCGCAGATGCATGCTCCATATGCAGATAAGCTCGAATTTGCTGCATAGAAGTAGAAAGTTCGCAATTAGAACGCTGAAATCACCTTACTGTTTCGTACAGTTTTAAACTCAACCGGTCGATTGCTTATTATCAATTTCTAAATGTGAATGAAGATACAAGGCGGACTTAACTGTACTTGTAGTTTCACTATTTTAAGTTCGGTCGAGGAGATAGATGCGTTCAATATAGTCACCAAAAACTTTGAATTTGTTGGTAAGAGTACATTAACTATATAGCCTAATGGATGAAAGAATATTTCTAGCTGCATTTCAGTCTTTCTTGGAATCTCCTGTATAAATGCTGCTGCATATGATAAAGGAAGAAGTCGACAAGAAGAGGAGCACCTTTATTTTTCAATCAGGAAATCAAACGTCTTAATAATGTCATTTTCAGAGACATTTTAGTCCAAATTAGAGTGTTCTTTTCTTCTCTCCAGCATGATTTATCAAATCCTTAAATAATATTTTTTACCTGCGTTGACAATTCGTTTAAATGAATAAAATTCATGAATACAATTCTAAGTTTGATACGGGGGATACTTGTACAAACGGTAGAAAAGTCAAATTATTTTAGACTTTTGCGAGCTGGAGGAAAAATGATGTATGCACTCTTACAGTTCTTTAGATTTATTAGTACCCACATTTGATTCACACCTCTCCTAGAGAAGTTTTTTTTTCAATTAACGCTGACGCACGGCTTTGACTGCTCATACAATTGGTTTATAGTTTAAAAGGGAAGTTCGTGTAGCACTTATCAGACCCAGTAATATAACCATTTTTGGTAAGGACACATATTGTGACTATACGTTATTACTTTTGCTCATTGTTGAAGACCGCACAGTTCCTATACTAGCTTAAATTGGATCAAGTGTCGAATGCGTTTTTGTAGTTTCATCGGTAGTATACCACTTAGGACATGTATGATTTGAGTAAAGTGGTTAAAAAAACAGGCTTACAAGATGGGTTCCTTGAAAAAGAATAGAGACATAATTCAGCTATACTTATTAAATTGCATATTAAAGAATAGATATTTTTCTATCTTGAAAAAAAGTAATGTTATTAAGTGATTCGGTTTTTATCAGATTGAAATTAGATAGGTTTGAAGGTAGAGAAGTCATCAGGTCGACATGTTAACTGGTAGACAGGTCAGTAGGTAGACAGGTCAGTAGGTTGACAGGCCGACAGGTCGATAGGTCTACTGTATTCAGGGTTGGATTTAGTTTAGGATTAGGGTAAGGGGTAAGAAAGTGATAGGGTTAAAGTTAAGGATAGTGATTGGAATGAGGTACGGTGTTATAGTTTGGATTATAGGTAGGGTTAGATGTTTGTCCTGTTTGCCGTAACGTATGGGGTTAATCAAGAAATCAAACATATTGATAGTGTAATTTTCATACAAAAATTTGTTCAAATCAAAGTTCGTTAAGTTTTTTTTTATATATATATAAAATATGATTGATCACACCCTTGAACCTTCGTTAGCCATTTGTTTTAATGAATAAAGTTAACCAATTTTAAGTTAGGAATGGTGGAACTTAGTCTTATGTAAAGGGTATAGACGTCAAATGATTTAAAAAACAAATCATAAGTCTAACGGTGCTTTGGATTTTTTGGTATCAACATATGATTTTCAAAACCTACAGAGTAGTTGTTTCAGAATAAATTTGATGCATGGCTTTGATTGCTGATAAAATTTATGTTTAAAGTTTGGAAAGTGATTTTTTCGAGCACTAATTGGTAAACATATGTCCTTGGTAAAGAAACTTATGTGACTCTACGTTACTGGATTTTGTAATTGGTATGGTACCTATAGTAGCTTAAATCCACGCAATTTGAACTCTGATGGATAGTTGTCTCATTGGCAATCCTACTACATATCTTTATTATACAAATCTTTCCTATTGCCGAACAAAGCATTTAATACTATGCCAGCATTTCGTTGTCGGAATTGATTTCCTTTCCAAACTTAAATCCTTTTGGGATAATCACGGTAATGAAGTTGCAGTACACAACTATTCATGAAATCTTTAAATGTAGTTAAGACAGATTAACGATTTGTTTGCTAAGTTTTTATCAGATAAAATAGATTAAAAAACATGGTCAAATGTTTTACTAATTTAAATGTTTTATGTGACCGAAAAGCAAATTCTGAAATAACAGACACACGTAGTTTGTTCTAAAGATCAAACTTCTGCATCAGTATATGATCGGAATCAACTCTGTTGTGCCATTTTTACACCAGATGCGTTTTTTTTGGTGAAGTAGATGACATTGATGTTCACAATATCTTTTGTATAAATCGGTGAAAGTGTTGGCAACAACCGCAATGGGCATGCTCAACAGAAACAAGCCAAAGGTTGCGC